TTTATCCCAATTTTATTCCATCTAATTAATTAATTATTTTTAAAAATTAAAGTTTAAATAATATTAAAAATATTGCTATGCAATTCATTGTATTTTTATTGAGAAAAAATTAGATTTTTTGGAGTCTAAAGCGTTTGTTTTTATTGTTATTAGTTTAATCAAATAATTAATTACTTCAATAATTCAATAGTTTTTAAATATTTTAAATTAAATAAGAATAAAAAGAAATTTTACGTTAAATCTATTGTTAAGTTTTGTAAATTTTAACATTTATATAGGCCAAATCCTATATCAGCTATTTGATCTTAATTGATGTTGTTATATCTTTTATTAATAAATCAATTAGAATATTATAATAAACCCCCATTGTTAATTCTCTCAGAAATAAATAAAAATCTTGATTGATGTCTACTAAAATTATATCTAAATAATATTTGAATAATTGATCAAATTTTCTTTTTTGCTTTAATTAAAATTAATACTTTTTTTTCATGGATAAACAGCATTATAAAAATTAAAACTACTTATTTAATAAGAGTGGTTAGTTTATTAATTAATTCTTCTATTTATTTATTTATTTATTTTAAAATCTAATTACCATCTATTTATTTTATCTTTAATAGTAAAAATAGAGAAATAAGTGAGTAGGGTTAATTTTCAATAACATCTATCTTAAGAAACTGCCGAAATTTAATTATAGTAGAGCTTTATTTTTCAAGGAAGTAATTAATTTATATTCTTTTAGATTTTGTACTAACTTTCTAACTAATTTTTTACTCAATTCTTTTAAATGAAATTAACTAAAAATAATGATAAATTTATAAATAAAATAAGAATTCATATAAATTTATTATTAAAGAAAATAATTTTTTTAATTTATAGTTATTTATTCTTTTTTATTTTAAACTTTAAATAATTAAAATATTTCATGAAATTTAAAGCTTAAATAAAAAATGTTATATTTCTTTTAAAGATAATTAAATAAATAAATAACTATTCAAAGATAAAAATTTAGTAATTCTTTATATTTAAAAATATAAAAATTCATCTTTACCTAGTTAAAATGAAAATTATACTAAAATTT